TAAAATCTGGCAGATAAAAAAGATTCCTAGAATAAACGATTGTTTAGTATAATTACCATCCTGTCCCTCCTTAATGGATATTATGCTGGGAAATTGGTATTTAACGGGGAACCTCTGGAAATATTATTATTTTCGGTAGCAATTTGCGATAGAGAATTCAAAAAAATTTTGTAGATTCCTGCGTGATGGGTGATTATTTGATAATCATAGTAATTTGAAAAGCGCAGTACGCAATTATTTTGAAGAGATTGCTATAGTATGAATTACAATATAATTTTTGAAATACAAATCTATTTTAAAGACTAGATTATGAAAGTCCACTGAGATTAGTTTATTATTCCGATTTAATACGGTACTGTATAAAAGTTTAGCAGCGAAACTCACTACTATCATCGTAACTGATAATAATTTAAAATATAAAATGGTTTCATATGTTTTTTATTAATAAAAAAAATTAACACTTCGTAAATAATAAGAAACTGTACTGTAATCGAATTCGGATAATCGTGTATCATTCGAATTTTTGACCATCCAAAATTTTTATACAAATTCATATAAAAACTTTTGATGGTCAAAAATTCGAATGATCGTGTACTAGAATTTAATATATCACGGTCATTCGTAGTTTTTATACAAATTCATATATTTTGTACATTATCTTTATGCGCAAAGCTTTTAGCATTATTTCGCTTACCTGATTGGCTACTACTCACATGCTTATTGATACTTATGTGTTACATTTTTTGATCGTATCGTTACACTTTTTAATCGTTACCTTGCAAATACAAGAACAATTTTTATTTATACACTTTAGAGTAATTAATTTTTTATTTAAGCTTCGGATTTATGTCGGTTCCCGATTCCTAGTAAATTTGTAAAATTTTGCCGCAGCCACGTTAATGCGCAGTATTTTTTTAGCGTTAGTGAAACGTTACATTCTCGAAAAGTATGTACATGCGTATATTAAAAGTGTATAAATAAGTTACCCTGATTTATAAGATCGACTAATTGATCTTGTAACACGACTGTATATATTTAAATCTATTTTAAATAATCTAAAAACTTATACTTGATACATGTTCTTTCATTTTCTCCTTTAAAAAATGGATTTAAATCCTCCAGCATTCTTTCGATTTTCCGATTTATTACGAAAATCTCATTCTCAAAGCAAATCAGAGAGTAAAGGAAAAGGAAAGGCCATAGCGGTTGATTTTACAACTAATTTGTTGGAAAATATTCATCAAGCGCAAGAAGAATTGAAATACAATTTAAGTCAATTTAAGCAAATTCTTCAACAAAATCAAAAGTGAGCTCAATTTTTAAATTAATTATTTGTCTTGTTTTTTGTTTCAAAAAAAAAAAGTTGTAATTATTTATTGATGCAGTATTCAATGGCAACAACAAGCCTGTACGTGATTTCAAACGCTTTTCTCAAGTTCACAATTCATCTAACCGTTACTGATACACATGTGAATCATTTTTGTATAAATCAGCTGATGATAATCATAAAGCGAACGAATACGGATCAGATCTTTTTTTCAACGACCTTCCAACATCATATTTTTATGATGATTTTCATGATAATGATGAAACTCAGGACTTTAGTTTAGATGGTATTCATGATCAATATGAAGATGAAAGTGTGTCATTGAACAGGGAATGGTTTTTAAAGTATGCCCACAACCGAACTTGGTTTCTTCTGATTTTTTCCCAGTATTATTTGTTAATTAATATAATTATATTGTCAGGCAATGTGAATCACATATATCAACATTTGGAGATGTAGGTGGTGCTATAACACCCATAAAGTTATGTACAAATATATTCACAGTACTGAGGTCTAAGCAAGGTGTGTATTCATATATTTCAATGAAAATTTTTTCATCTGGATACCAATATTAATATTTGTTATACCGTCAGATGACATTGAAACGGAGCTCGTTGATCTCCTTGGATATGAAAACCTTAATTTTGTTACAACACTGGTGACTAACCGGTTCGAGATCGTTGAAAACATACGTATGAATTCTGATTTTGATGAAAATCAAATGGTGAGAATATATTTATTGGCATTTAATAGTTTTTTTTTTATTTTTCTTTCCTTTTTAATTGTATTATGCTTCAAACAGGATTCTTTTGAGAAATCGGATCTTCCGTTAGATTCAATCCCAACTGAGCCAAAGCGCCCTCAGTTTGGTTCTCAAATTACCGTTCAGTTTGCAGATGATGTAAAAAAAATGAAACGATTGAAAAAGGAACACAAAAAGGCAATGAAAAATCGGAGTGCTGGTACATATTTTCTACATTTTCCGATATTGAAATGCCTATGGTTACAATTTTCTCATATTTTCACGTGTAATTTAAAATCTCAAAGAGGATGAAGAATCCCTATCTGCCAAAATATTAGGTTTTGACAGTGATAAGCTACGTGAAATTAGAGAACATGAATTACGCTCTGCAAATGATTTACCCCCACTTCCTCAGCGCGTAAGTTGGAATTTAAAATTTTGTACTGATTTTTTGAATACTGAAGTTTCTAATCTATTAAAATTTTTCAGAAAACTCTTTCGGAGAGTTTCAAGCATGTCTTTGGAAAAACTCAACCTGGCAGTGTGTTATCTGTCTTCGGAACCAAATATTCGCTACCAGCTGGCACTAAACAACATAGTTTTACCGTATGTAATTTTTTGGACTTCATTAAGAGTTGTGACTTATAGCTTATATAACTAATATTCTTAATGCGCTTAACAGGATCATGAAGAAATAATAATTCCCATCACCCAACAAGCGCCACAGCTAAAAAACCAAAAGTTAATTATTATAGGAGAAATGGATTATCTTTGTAAAGGTTCATTTAAAGTAAGAACATATTGATTAGGAAATTATTTAGTTCCAGTGTTGGCAATTCTATTTCTCTATTGGCTTTTTTGCTATTTGATTTTATTGTTCCAGTATTGGCAATTCTATTTCTCTATTGGCTTTTTTGTTATTTGATTTTATTGTTAACTTTGCATTTAGTCATCTAGCCTTTTAATTATACTAAAGTTTTTAAATGCGACAAAAATTAGTTGTTCCATTGTTCCAGTGCTGCCAACACTGAATCTAACTATAACATTAATGGAATTTAATTACTTGATTTATTAACTCGCAATTCGTCTTCAATTTATTGTTTAGGGATATAAATCGCTTAATTGTGTACAATCAATCGTTTACCCAGTTGCTTATAAAAAAAATGATAATATGCTGATTTGTGCTCCCACAGGAGCAGTACGTTGACCAATTAATCTATCAAATAGTTCATAATTCTACTGTTATTTGGCACAAGTAATAAAGCAACTTACTTTCTTTTTTTAAATAGGGCAAGACAGACGTAGCTATGCTTGCAATTCTCCGTATCTTATATCAATACTGTGATCCTAACCCCTCAACAATTTCAGAAAATCAAAAGTTTACGATTAGAAAGAATGAGTTTAAGGTCGTTTATATTGCACCAATGAAAGCTTTAGTGGCCGAAATTGTGAAAAAACTTGGTAAAAGATTAGAATGGTTAGGCATTCAAGTGAGAGAATTAACAGGTATGTTTATATAAATACGTTAAAAAGGCTTGACTCTACCACATAATTTCTTAATATCTTATTGATATTGCTACATGTTTTTACCTCTAGGTGATATACAATTAACCAAGGCAGAAATTTCTAGTACTCAAATCATCGTAACTACCCCTGAAAAATGGGATGTAGTGACAAGAAAGAGTACGGGAGATACCGAGCTGTCAAAAGTGAGCTTGTTTAAAAATATATTATTTATGTGTACGTACCGATTAATATTAATAGTGCTGACATTCTAAATGATAATTAAATAGAAAGTCAAATTGCTTATCATTGATGAAGTGCATTTATTACATGATGATCGAGGTGCTGTTCTTGAAAGTCTTGTTGCTAGAACACGTCGTCAGGTAAATTTAACATTCCCACTAGAATATTCATTTGAATATATCTGCATTACATCAATTGACGGTTTTGCGTTATTTAGGTTGAATCTAGTCAATCAATGATTCGTATTATCGGTCTTTCAGCGACTTTACATAATTATGTGGATGTGGCTCGATTTTTAGGGTTGGCTTTATAATTCCATTCTTTTATCATCATCGCATAATTAATTATATGTCTAATGAAATTTGTTTCTAATTTATAGTGTGAACCTTAGTAATGGTGCAGAGGGTCTATTTTATTTTGACGGAGGGTTTAGACCTGTACCGCTTGAACAACATTTTATTGGTGTAAAAGGAAAACCCGGATCTGCGACTTCCAATACCAATCTTAATCATGTTTGCTGGGAAAAGGCATGCCTTTATTATTTGATATAATGTTAACAATAGTGAATTATTATACAAATACTTATCGATTTTAGGTATTGGATCTTGTCAAGAAAGGACATCAAGTGATGGTTTTTGTTCATGCGCGAAAAGAAACTGTAAAAACGGCTCAATTATTACGTGAATATGCCATTAAGGAGGGACAGGATGGTAATTATACTAAACAATCGTTTATTCTAGGAATCTTTTTTATCTGCCAGATTTTA